TGGAGTTTATTCGGCTTCGTGTAAATAATCATTAAGTGTAATCGAATTTATAATCTCTCTTACATAGATTAGTATTACTGCTTGTTACATAATATGATATATAATTTCGCTTGCGATGCGAATCGGAAAAGACAACAGGCGCGACTTTCTCTCTTTGCCAAGAGAATCGTCTTCGGCGTTATCCACGGGACACGGTCTGCTCGCATGCTTTCGTATAATATTGATTCGCCGGAGACGAGGTCGCAGGTGAGATTTCCCACGATCGTTGGCCGCACGGAGAGAGAAAGAGAGAGAGAGAGAGAGAGAGAGAGAGAGAAAGGGAAAGAGAGAGATAGGCCGCCGCGGATTGTCCGCGCGGTTTTTAGATTGTTGTGCGCATAAGAAAGTCCAGGAAGCCTCACGTTTTCCTCAGCGGAAAAATATCGCGAGCCAAAGTCACCCCTTGTGATAAAACGAATAACCGAATGATATGTTCTATTTATCTTGTCCATTTAAATCAATCCGTATATTTTTATTCTGAGATTACGATTCCATTTCCATAAGTTTATACAACATAACGTCAGAAAGATATTGATTGATCGAATTGTAAAATTTATGGAGCACAATTTAAAGCAAGCGATACCACGCGAAAAAAGGCATATATCATACCAAGCGTCCAGTCTAATTGAAAATGGACTTAATTCCACAGTATACAGTATAAATGTTAATTCCATAACATAAATTAATAAAATGAATATTATATACGTAAACAATAAGCAATAATCTAAGCCGGATATGTGAAAACAACATTTGCCATTTATGAATATTTCATATTATTATTAAATTAACAAGATTATATTCCGAAACCGGATTATTAAATCAGCGTTTTTCAAGCATGCTTGTATAATGATTTCTTCCTTGTATTCATTATTCGACAATTTCTAAATAACTATACATTTATATTTATAAATTATATTAGATATTTACTTAAAATGCGTGAATTTTAGCTTTAATACGCCGTTTTACATATTTTGCACAAAAGCCACAATCAGGAATTAAACGAAACGCAAAGTGAAAAGTCGCGCGAAGGAAAATGGGAGGAACGGTCTCTAAAAGATGCTTCTTTCTGAATTCTGGAAACACGATCAGAAACACGGTGAAAACGTACTCGGAAAGTGACAATTTATTTGGTAAAAGTGTCCATTACATAAGATTTAACGCATCGCTCTTAGATCTTAGACCTTATCTACGAAAGTAAAATCTATGCGCGCAATCGCTACGTCGATGTGACCGTCAATGATGAATTTCTCATCTTCCCCACGCCGTCGGAGAAGGCTTTGGATATACGAAAACAGAAAATCACCTAATAAATTAATTTGACGCTCGCGGTCGCGAGGGTCCGATTCTCGGATGTTTAGGAACACAATTGCTTCGCTTTGTATCTCTGGCAGTTGGAGATTGAACTTGAACACAGAAACGCAGAACCAACGCAGATCGGCTTCCGTTTTTTTTTTCCCCTTTCTTTTTTCTATTCCTTCTTTCTGGCAAAAGACGGGACGCGACGATAAAACGGGGGAAAAAAGAAATGATCGACGCTCGCAGTCTCGAAGGGAAAGAAAAGCCTCACCGACTCACATACGCACACATACACATACACACGTGATGACGATGACGATGACGATGACGGTCGACTCCTATCCGTGTCGACGACTAAATAGAGTTCTGTGCAAATAGAGTACTCTTGTCTCGCGATATCGCCTCTTTCGGGTTCTCTCTAAGTTCTCTACGCGTACGCTTCGACACGAAAGCCGCCTAAGGAATCGAGAAGTTCAATGATTTTCGATTGAAAAAATTTGGCACGATCAGCTGTGAAAAAATATCATCGTACTGCTCTGTGACTTCGTTTTCTCTCTTTTTTTTTTTTTCCATTTTCTTTTTTGTCCCTTTTCTCTTCCGCTTCGGTCTCTCTGCTAGGATATCGTACAATTGTTTACCTCCTCGTCGTTTATTTTCTCTAATTACCTCACGCGTACCGTAATATAATATCCCCTAACAATACAGTCGACTATATTGATAATGCATAAAATACTCTTCAGTAGTACAAACGCGATGTCGTGTCGCAAGATCACGCAATTCTCCTTTTTTTTTTTGTTCTTTTTTTCTTCTCTTTCTTTTTTAGAAATCCTAGCGAACTTTCGACAAGGTCGTCAATCATGAAATTCACCAAATCAGTACGAGCAATACGCATTGGAGTTCAATATCTTTCATACATTCTTGAGAACGTCGAGGAGTATCCCTTAGGAATACTCGAAAAATTGATTAGATTGTCATGCAAAATACTAACTTGCGGGAATCTTCTTGAAATGTGAAAAAAAAAATACCATGAAAAAAAAGCGCCTCGTAATCAATCAAGAACGAAAGAAAAATTTATAAATTTTACATTTTATCGTAATTTAATTTGCATTAAAAAAAAAATTAAAAATAAAAACAAAAAGAAAATGGCGCGGCCGATGAACGCGGTGATCCGTGGTTCTCAAGAATGCACAAATGATTCAACAATTCAATTTGTGACATTATGTCGTACTCACGCGCACAATCGACGCCCACAAGGAAAACTCGGCAGAATTTTGAATAAACTGATTCTCCCTGAGTGATGATAAGCTATTCTGTAGGTTGGTGTTTTCATGTGTATCTCCCCCCTCCCCCTCCCTTTTCCCGTACCCTCGCTCTATCGTCGAATATACAATATTACTTTTTATCGTACACAATTTATACGTCTAGAGCCCTAATTAGAGGTTTCTCTTTCGCTTAAAAATCCCGTCTCTAATCGCTAGTCGGACTTATAAATTTAGCCGCGAGTACAATCGATTCCCTTATTTATCCTATTTCATCCCTTAACCACCCCTAACGTGTGTTCGGGTCGATGCGAGCTAATACTTTTACGTAAAAAACGCATTATATCTAGTGTCTTGTAAATAAAAAAATAGGAGGAAAAAAAAATCGCCGATTTTAGAGAACACATCGTCGGATTACGACAAAGAACACAATGCGGTAAAATGTCAATCAGTCGATTCCTCTAGCTCCCTTTGTAAACCCTTCGAATGCAGCTTCTCCGCGTCGCTCGACAGGCAGTATATCGTGATCACTGATAGGTGGTCTCGGGAACATTTCAATTTTGTACGATAAATTCGAACATATACGTACATCATATTTATATAGTTCATTCGTTTAACTAGTTTCTTGCGAGGCTGAGAAATCTCGTATTATGCTCGTAACCACGGTGCAAAAATAAAGCGACAGCATGGAACGTATCGTCCTGTAAGTGTATTCCTTTCGGTTTCTTTCTTTCTCTTTCGTTCATACGCGAATATTTTCCTCCATCGTTTTTCATGATTTCAATACGATACGAAGAGACATTATTCATGAATTATGTATTCATGCCAATCGCAGCGTCGTTATTCGTCGATCATCCTTCTGCCCTCTTGTCTTACAACTGTCGTTTTACATTGCGTGCCACTTTGTGATTTGTTTGTATCACATGCAAATTTCTTCGTCGACTTACAAACGAGCTACATTCTCATTATATACCGTAGCCTTTGAGCGGAATATCTTATATTTTCTTACCGAGTCTTATTTCCTAAAATGTTCTATCGTACCGTCTAGCACTTTTGATTTTGCGATTTGCACACGACGCGCGCTCTCGGAAATCATAGACAATGATGGTGCGAATAGAAAATCGAACATTAACTTTCTTGAAACGCAGCGAAAACGAATTAACTTCAATTCCGACATATAAGCATATTACATCGTTCTTAAGCAACGTAGATCCCTCCTTATATGATCGTGTGTTCCATATCTTACAGAATTACTCACGCGTATCGCGACTTCAATACATACACATATACATATATAATATGTATCGCACAAGTATTCACAAGTTTTTAAGTATTTGCATTACCAAGATCTGTGCCGTAATTCAGACTTATTTCCGCGTGTAATTTCTTGTTATGCCCATGTGTAATATTACAACCACGATCTTGTGGCGAAATCTGATTACGAGAAAATAAAAAAAATTTGCAAAATAAAACTTGAAATTGTTGTATAAATATATATTGAAAATTCGAAACATTACAATTACTCTCGTGGTTGATTCTCCTTTATATATAAATTAGATATAACCTTTTATACTAATTTACAACAAAATTTTTGCTTTTGACTTTGAAGAAAATGGGATTAAATATGGGATTAAATGTTTTGTGGAGATTTTAAATAAACGAATTTGACTTCCAAATACATATATTATCAAGATTCCAAAAAATAAGTTATAAAGTTATGAAAAAATATACAAAAAATCATTATGAACCTTGTAATCTTTTTTTTAAATCTTTACAAGCTACATAAATTTAATACCCTATTCCAAAGTCAAAATAAAAAATTTTTGTAGATGTATTATTTATTTATAATTACTTAATTAATAATTTAATAAACGAATTATTTATACCATTTATATAAATTTATATAAATTAATAGATGAATTATTTAGTTCAGTAAATTATTTTTTAACTGATACCAAAGTTTGATGTAAAAATTATGTTTTATATATATAATTGTAAATCTATTTCTTGTATGTGTATCATAAAGTAACAATAATACTATTGACCACGGAGTCATTGTCATCAATATTAATATATAATCAAGTAAGTAATACAATTGTTAACAAATGGATCGTTAAGAGAAAGAGAAATATTGTTTCCGATTTTATAGGTCAAACAAGATGGCACAATATATCCTTCTATTCACATTCCACGAGGATTTATGAATAACAACGATAAAGAATATGGAAACTATAGAATCAAAAAAGGAAGTTGTATGGAAGGGAACGAGATGAAGGGACGGCAGATGAAGTTAAACGGAACGATCGTACGTTCGTTAAAAAATGTCGAATTGCAATCAACCTACTTCACAGCTCTTGTTGGCGAAAGGCAGTGCTCGTCTTGTACATATTCGGGTACTTTCCCCCCTTTTTTTTACGTGTGTATATAAGATTAGAATATTACATTAAATTAGCTTTGAAATAGGTTGCACTCGATATCATCATTGTCATACAGTACACGCGCTGCGGCACATTTCAACGGTGGTACGCTAAAAAAAAAAGAAAAAAATTGCATAGGTGAAGCACATTTTAGTTCTTACAAAACATTTGTATGTAATAGGATTGCATGTAATAAATTTATCAAAATCAATATTATCGGCAATTTTCTCTTCTTATTTCTCGGTTATGTGTTTTTATGATTCTCCGTCTTTTCTTTAATTCCTTATGAAATTTCAATTCTTTTGCTGCACCACCAGAAATACGCGCAGTTATACCGTCGTTAGAATGTACACCTATTGTATTATTGCTATTTAACGCGATAGGTTAACTTACAATCTAAGATTTGTACATCTGTGGATTTGCTGTTCAATGATGATGCCTACAAAGAGAGATAAAGAATATGTCTCAAACGTGTCTAATTGTTGCGATAAAAGAAAAGAATTATAAATAAGAATTTAATTAAATAAAATTTAAAAACGATTATTTTATATCGAATTCTGCGAGACAAATCTTCCTAACTGCTTCTTCGTATTTAGTTGCATTTTTTTTTACATTATTATATATTCTAATTGAGCTTGAGTATATTTTTACAGTTGCAATGTACGTATAGCTCACAAAGTCGTGCGTATAAAAGTTCAACAAGAATAAACCAGAGAGCAGTAAAAAAATTCTACAGTGATTTGATGTATACCCGAACATAGCGTTTTAATGAGATCCATGATAAAATTGTTATCAGAAACGTGCAAAATATTCAGCTTTATACAGTGTACAAAGCAGTATATATATATATATATATATATATATATATACATACACATATACATACATATATGATTGATGTATATGTAACAATTTTAAGATACATTACGAAAGATACAAAGATATAAATCGAGATATATATATATCTGTACACTGTAAATTGCAATAGACATTATTAAAGTGACATCCCTTATCGAGTAAGGAAAACGGTTACCGATAAATGTGGTGTAGAAAAGCGTGTATCAGTTTATCTCGCGAAGAAGCGCAGTTAGGTCTCTCTTGCTGGTGAGGTTGGATCCTTGGATGTTCGATAACAACGAATCTCGTTTTAATAATTAAGACTCGTGTCTATACCACATCGAGTTTGTATCTACCTTCAGCTGGGTTTGCCCGGTGGTCCGTGGGAGTGGAGATTATGAACTCCGCCCACTTGGTTACTGGTAAGACTGGACATGGTGGGCTGGTACATCGACGGCATGTAATTGCTCGACGATTGTGACGCCGACCTGGCAATCAGTACGTTACATATCAAATTATGCTTGTAACAAAGAATAAAGACATAGACAAGGACATATTTATTTACCTCGGTACACCACGCAGTGGATCTGGCGTAACGGATGAGTTTCGTACGACGCCGGAGGTGTTTGCCGGCGCCGGCGACACTATGTTACTTGATTGACCCTGAAGGTATCCACCTCCGGCCGGACTATGCCTACATTTCATTGCAAGAATGAAAAAATTTGAAACGATTGCATCAGCGATATCCAGCGGAGGATACGTTACCTTATTGTTGGGCTGGGTTGCGGCGCTACTAATGATCCTCGGTGATACTGAGCGAGAGAAGCCGCCGCAGGCGGGGAAGGATCCGGCGGCAAACCATTTTCTAACGTCGGATGGCTACCGGAACTAGAGTGCGGCATGTATGTGTTATTCACTCGTGGTTCACGACTCACTCTAGGTACCGATGCCGGAGCGCCGGGTGGCACTTCTGAATGTGAAACGTTAGAATGAGACGGATTCACGGTTGGATGTATATTATTCACTGAAAACAATAGAAAAATACGTTACATGTGTTGTCTGTTCGTGAACGAAACATGGAAGATATCATAACGTTGTCTAACTAACCTGGATGTGAACTAGGCTGAGTTGTCAACGGAATAGCAAGTCTAGCATTCACAGCCAACAAGTGGTCTCTCCTTTGCACGAGATTACTTACATGTTCCTCTAGCCTAAGGTTCTCAGCTCTCAATTGATGTAGGCAGGAAAGTAGGGATGCAACTGCAACAGATTTTGATAATGTTGCTGGTTCACGTTCTCAACAATCAACATCAAATGCTTTTTTTTGAAGACCAAAGCGATATTGTATATCATTAGAAAAGTTATCAATTTAAAGTTAAAAAGCTTTTTATGAGACAAAAGTAAAGCATGGCATACAGTTTTCCTTGATGAAACATTGCGAAAAGTGAGAAACGAAACATTGATTTTTTTTTTGCTATTGTAATTCATGCAACTTTAAGCACATTTTTATCTTGCTATATACTCACTATCAAAATGTTGGGCCTGTTCCATTAAAAATTGACTTCCCTGTTCCCATTGTCTCTCTAAGAGTTGATCCAGTGTCTGCGGGATCGCTCCACTACCTAAGCTCCACTGTTACTGGCTGTACTAAAACTCGCATTACTACCGTTCGTAGAAAAACTGAAGAGAATGAAGTAGGCGGTGCGCCTGGCTGGCTAGATCGTATCTGCTTAAAAAAAATAAACTTCTTTAATTATTTAAAAAATATAATTTAATAATTTAATAATTTAATAAAAATTTTTGAATTTGCTTTATATAATAACGAATTTCAGTTGTTTAGATTTTAATAACAATACGATATTTTTCTTAAATTCACATAAATCTGTTTAAAAAACTTCTTTTTTTAATTATTTAAATATTTGAAATAATATAATAAAAATTTTGAATTTATTTTACACAGTTAATAAAATTGATGTTTAACTTGAATATTTAATATAACAATTTGATTTTTTTACGTACAGATGCTATTACTCGACTGTGCAGCTGCGGTCCAATCAAGTTCGTATTTGTGTTACTCGCCTCTGTAAAAATAGAATGTGCCTCGAGTTCCTGCGAGAGCGTATCTGACATTTTTTGCGCCATGGTCGAAGTAGGATTCAGCTGATTCCCTAACATGTGCGGTGCACTGACACCATTTTGAAACCTAAGAAATAATTATTCAGATTATCTTATTGTATTTGTATGTTTTCTCGTGTTGTCTCATCTGCAAATCTTACAGTTTCACATTATTCTCTTCCTTTATCGTGGTGTTAGCAAAACCAGTAGGTGTAGTCGATGCGGATGGGACAGGCGTAGACACAGCAGTTTTTCTCTTTCGTTTTCCCGTGCTACTACTCATACATTCTGATCCAGGACTACTAGGCGGTGACTCTTTGACAATCGGTCCCATAATATTCGCAGAACCTGTACCTGCACTGACACTACTGAAGTGTCCAACAGTAGCCGATGCAGGACCTTGAATAATGGATGGTACCGGGGCCACGGTGGCGGCAGGTGGAGGCGTTTGATGATTATTTCTTGCGCCTCTTTTAGACGTCGTCACGACTGCGGTGCTGGATACAGAAGTTACGACCGATGGAACTGTTGATTGCGATTGCGGTAGTAACGTTTGGCTGTTGGACGAGCCGCGCTTCGGTTTGCGAGGCTTCTCTTGTTTGTCCGACGACTGGGAACTGAAAGTTAATACATGTCGCAGTTAGTATAAGATACAAAACATCAAATTATTTTATATATAACTAGCATTGTTTTGCTTTATTGATCAGTCAATGACTAGCCAACAGCGTGACGATAAGAAAAAAAGAACCGTTATTACTTCAACATACGGCCAGAGATCATCCCGTTGGGAAACCCAATTCCCAAACGATTTAACGAAGTGTAAGGTCAACGCACACTGAGGCGAGCCGTCACGACGGGGTGCCATTCACAATGTCACGTTACACCCTTCCGCCGTTCGTTGCCCGTGAGGCGCCTCGCCGAGGAAAAAACAAACATAACCTCAATATCTCTCGTTCGCGACAACCCGCGGCTCGAGTACGTCAACGTAGTTACGGTGCCGCCGCACGACACCGGGCAATGTTTCCTCTCCCACTCCCTCTTCGTCCCGCCGAGGTTACAGCGCGACACTGTGATATTGCAATATTCGCTACGATATTCACACACAAACACGTCGCGATGTCGCAACAATTTCGCGATGCAATTATTATGCAGCGCGCGCGCGCACGTTATGCATTCGTGTTCGTTCGTCGAATGACCCCGAATAAACTGTCGTGCTCAATACATAGACACACCACTGTCATAAACACACTCCATCTTCCGTCACACTCGTGACTCGCCGAATCGTCCCGCGTCCGCCTCCGCCGCGCTCGGCGTAACTACGTTCCTCCCGACGGCACTCCCGCTCGACGTCCCCAGGGTCGATCAGGTCAGACAGGCACCCCGGAGGCGAACGCCCGATCCCGGCGTGGAGAAGAGGTTAAAATCTTGGCCACCTTGTTTACCAATCGCGCCCGCCATTTTGAACGCGCGGTGCGCGGCACTTGGCACCTGCACGAAAACTCGAAGCACCTCGCGGAGCATTTTCGTGTTTTATACCGTCGCACGGATTTCTTTATTAACACAACACTCACGTTGATTGAAATCAAAGACAAACAGAATGAGGAAGACAAATGTTTCTTTTTTTTATCTTTTTTTTTTACTTTTTTTAATTTTACTGTACTCTTACTTAAACTTTAATTGACCAAATGTAATCTTATCATTGAGATTCTTTTTTCTTGCGACAGAACCTCGTACAATGTAATTTTATATTTACAATAAATATATAATCAATGCAACCTGTGCCTTTACACACCTGTTTGTTATCTCCACCTGCATTTTTTTTTTTTTTTTTTTTTTAAAGAAATGTCCAAGAGGACTTACCGAGATCGTTTTACCGGTGCTTCCTCAGCAACGAATCTCTCAGTGTTCGGTATAGCGCTCGTTCGTGGCTCGGTACTGGCCACCGTGGTGATTATGCTCTGCTGCACCTGCTGGTACATCGTCGGTGCGCTGGTTACCACACTCTGGACAGTGTTGGCGAGCGAGGTGGCGGTCAACGGTACGGAAACAACGATACTGTTCGACGTAGTTGTCGGGGACTGGGTGACGACCGTGGGCTGCGACTGCGTCACTGACATTATCACAGGTGTGGTAGTTGCCTCCGTAGCGACCGGCGTGCTCGATGACGATTGAATCGGGCTGTCGACTTTCATCTATAATAGAAGAGAGATAAAACGTTATTATCTAACTACATCGCCTTCTATCCTTATGACTAGATTTATCTCTCTAATAGATTAATGATTTTGCTGTAGGTGTGCTGTAAGAAACGACCAAGATAAAATGAGCAGCGTGATACCTGTGTCTGATCACTTTTGCAATCGTATTCTTAATATTCACAGTCATTCTTTTTATCAAAGTGGCTCGTTAAATTAATTGATTTTTCGATATTCATATTATTCATTATAACAATTCTTGTTTTTATTATTTATTAAAACTGTTTTTTGCTGAATTATTTACTTTTTCCGAATTATTCGTTGAAACGACTTTCGTTTTTATTAAATTAATTGCTTTTTTTGGACTGTTCATTGTATTGATACTTATTTTTACTAAATTGCTTTCTTTCGAAGTTTAGATTTGCGTATTTTTTTCGTTTAGATTCAGCTATTGCATTTAAATGTCAAATTTTCTCTTAATTTAAGATATAACTATTACAATTTATTCAGAAATTTAATCCTCATAACCAATCACTCAAATGTTTTCCGATTTATTATTATCACTTATAATAAGTCAAGCGAATTTGTTTTATTTTTACGTATATAAATACTGTTTATATACATATGTTTTATATACATATGTATGTATGTATGTGATATTGCAAACATATGAGTTTAAAATTCATAACTTACAAGTTTAATATAGAATTTCAATTATATTCTAAAAATATATTTTAAATGAATGTTATTTTTCAACTTGTCTAAATTCATCCCATTAAATTTATCTTCAAGGCATTAAAACATCATTCAAACAAATTAGTCAAAAGTAAATATAAGTAAATATACATTTAGTGTTGTAAATATGAATATTGGAAATATCTCAAAATGCGTTCAAATTAGCTATTATCATATATTTATGAAGAAATCTCAATTATATATAAATATTTAGGAAGTACACAATAAAATTCATAATGTAACGTATTAATTTACATTCTTTCACGCATAGCATTCTAATCATTAAAATTGTTTGTCTCAAACCACTTATTGCAAATAGTAAAATATGAATAAAAGTTCATAAAAAATATCAATTTTTAAATTTAAAATGTAATTCAATGACAGACCTTTACCTTCTTTGATTTTTCCGGTTCCGTAGTTGTGCTTAAGCTAGTGGCTTCAGTGATTGTCGGCTGTACATTATTACTCGGAACCGTCTGTTGCACCATAGAGCTAACTGCCATAACGACCGAACCGCTAGCCTCCGAACTAGCCGATTGATTCGAGTTGTCATTGCCTATCACCGTCGGCGTACGCGCTCCAGTTTTTCGCTTCTTGCTGGTATGGCTCGATGTCTTGTTGGAAGCCGATGAATTGGATTTCCCTTGGCCTCCGATGTTCTTGTGCGCCGCGTTGGAATTGCCGGTGCTCGTCTTCATTGCAGAAGTAACCGCTGTTGTAGCGACGGTAGTAACCGTACCGCCACCACCTTCATGTCCGAACACGCTCTCCGATTGTGTAACAATTGTCTCGACAAAGTTAGAGGTCGTGAATTTGCTGGAACTTGTGGAATTATCTTTGGGCGTATTGCGACCACTACCACCGCTCTTGTCGTCTGCGATGCCATTTATCTCTAAACTGGGACTAGCATTGGATTTACTCTTAGAATTTGCGCTGGACTTGGAACTCGAGCTCTTCCGCTTACCGCTCGACGACTTTATCGGAGTCTCCGCCTCTTTTTCCGGCGACGAGTCCGACGAACCGTTGTCGGCAGGTATCGGCTTGTATGGTGGTATCGTCTTCACATTACCGCCCTTTTTCTAAAAATTGATCATATTATTTTTCATACAACGTTAATATTCCATTACTTAAATCTCTAATTGGACAGCATAATGTTAAATAATAATAACTTATGTAAAAGAGCCGTATTCAAAATTGTTCTCGAAATTATCATTCAGTATATACGACACCGACATTTATAAACAGAAAAATAAAAATTTTCCCTATAATAAAAATAGAAAATATCCAAAACAAATAATGGTATCACTATGTGTTCAATACTAAATTATTCACCAATTTTGAATAATGATGTTGGCAGTAACCGCAATATTTAACATTATCAAGATAATTGCCAGCTTCTTCACAGAGCAAGCCCAGAGCCTGTGCACAAGTGACATGAAATTGTTGCCTGCAGCCAGTTTTATTACACTGCATGCAGGCTCCTACATTAGCTCTACTACCTCTGCCTTGTTCCTCACAGATGTAACATGTCTGAAATGATTAAATTTCTATATGATACAAGGCATAGTAAAATGTGAGCGACGTCAAACATAGCAAATCGCTTGATTTATAGCTCAATCTTGCTTTGTAGCAAGTAATTGTCAAAATGATTACCTTGTTAAATCTTTCTGGAGGAATAAGTTGTAATATAATTGGCTCCATCGTAGTCACATTACCAAATCGAACTTCTGGAATATAGAGAGCGCACACGACGTGCGCCCAACCAGCTTGGTCTGTCCTTTTAAGGGCTCCATCCCGACTCGGACATAATTCACAGCGCTATTTAAAAATTAGCAATATAATAAACTTTAATAACATTATAGTTATTATAGTTAGTAGTTATTATAGTTAGTTATAGTTAATCTTATATATTGATAGAAATGAATATTATCTCATCACAAAAGCAGAAAGATATTATTAAGTAAGTAAAAAAAACAAAGAAATAACTCTTCATACCACTCGAGCACTACGTTCCTGCGACTCGCATTTCCTGCAATACCATGGGCCTGTTGGTACAGTGACGATGCCATAGCACGCTGCAAAAACAATGACATTCGTTACTCATACAGTAAATCGCTTTGTAAGAAAGTCCAATTGTTTCACAAGAGAAACAGATACCTTGGTGTACAGCAACAGTGCAACCTTGTCCATCGCAATAGACCAGTGGATTCTCTGTCCAACCCCTCTCGTCAGAACACACGCAGCACCCTCCGAGCATCTCCTTCATGCTGTGCCCCAAGCAATTCGGAAGACGAGACTAGCATGAGGAGCTAGGCGACGGACCGCGGGCATCGGCTACGTGGTGCGAAGTGGCTCGTGTCGTGCGTGTCGCACGATCGCATTCTGACGATGACGCGACGTCTCCGCGGCGGTAGGAGGCTCCGTTGATGGCCTCTCTCCTCTTTCTTTCTCTCGGTGGGGTCCCGCCACCGCCGCGTGCCCTCCTCACCCTCGATAGGATTCGGACTACGCGCGGCGCGCGATGCACGCGCGTCGTCGCGTCACGGCAGCGAGGGAGAAACCGGAGTGCCTTGTTCTTCCGGGAGCGGGAGGACCGACAAAACACGAGTCGAGTGTGAGCGAACGGACGGCCGAGGGAGGAAGCAAGCGTGCTACGTGCGTGCGGGCACGCGCGCGCGTTTTCGCACGGCGGAGGCACGCGGTGAGCGGCGCCGTCGTCGAGCGGACGCCGCGGGATCAGCCGAAAACGCCGACCGGCCGTAAGTCGCGCGAACACACGTGCGAATGTTAGGCGGCCCACGCTAAAAACGTGCTCGGACGGCTTGTGTTATTTACGACGGCGCTCTATTTACTTCGTCGGTCGGCCATCTTATTTTTGCTTGTCGCGCGCGACTCACGCGTGCGCACGGCCGACGCGATCCGCAACTGAGCGCATTCGCATTTCGCGATCGCGGACCTAGCGTTCCGTCTACAGGAATGCGTTCATTGGACCCGGGACCCTATTCTCGAAATATATGTACACGAAAATTCTATAGTATATGTAACACATATTATAGGATTTTTCGTATGCGATATGTTTCAAGAATAGGACCTACGGTGTGTTACGTATGTACCGCCATTTTTAAATCGTATGTCAAATTTAAATTTGTAAATATGTATATATATCAAGTCCTTCTTGGACAATGCATGAAATGTATATTGTTCGATTATTTTCATAATCAAACTTCATAATAAAACTGTATTTGTTATTTATTTATTTCCACGTTTTCTTCCTCTTCTGCCGTTTCTTTAATAATCTTATCCATGTTATTATAATTATAAATATTGACAAGCTAATCGCCGTGCGATTAAGTTAATCAGCGTTTGAGTGACCGTCAAAATGCAGGAACAAACAGATCAGTTTCGCATTATAATTGACCAATGGAAGAGTGCAACTTATAGGAACATTTCACATAGCAATGTAGCGCAATCAAGGACTTGAAACAATTGAAGCAATACTGAAGTTAGCGATTACCACTTCGGATAGTTGATAAGGGGAAGACCCCCTCGAGTGCAGCATGAGATTTAAAATCCTGGGGATACTCAAGCGAGATCGAGGGATTCCCGATAATGGCTAATAAATAAGAGCGAGATTATTCTAGTTGCGCTAAAAATGTTACAGTGAGTGTGCAATAAAGGTATTCTTTATCGAGATATCGCATGTCTCGCAGAACGGTTTGTTATTGGCGAAGAAGTGACAGTTCGTGACAATCGGCGATAGGATCTTCACGTTCGGGATTTTTCCCAGTCTCCTCGTAAGTAATTAGAATACTTTTAGTGTATCTAAAAAAACATGATTATGTTCAATTTCGTGTATATTATACATATATTTATGTATATTTTATAATATATGTATGTAAATTATAATCGTATAAATCCATATATAAACATCGATCAAACATACATGCATCGATCAAGTACGTTTGAAATTATTAAATCTCCAAACAATAAATTAAGTATAAATATCAACAAAAAATAATGCAAAGAATCTAACAAAAATATATTTATTTAAAAGCGTTTATACAAAGTAATTGTATTAAAATCTCTCTTTTTAAATTATATACATTGTTTTATATTTGTCCTTGCATTGAATACGTGTGTTTGATGGAGAAATTTTAATACTAATATATTAAACTCGATTTGAATAAAGCTTTAGTAAAACGAGTTGAATTTTTTGAGTTGAAACGAGTTGTTTATGAATCCTATTCTTTTCTCGATACCGATGATATTGATGCTGATTACCGTCATTTATCAATATCTTGTAGCAAAAAAAACTATCACTTTTCTAGATAAAAAACAGTATTCCATATCTATAGATCTAGTATCTTCTTGGAGAAAAAAAAAATCAATATAGATTTCCCGGAATCAATGTAGTGTGCGAAAAACAAGAACAGATTTAGTTTTCCATTTATCTTCTTCTGCCACATGGTTTACATCGCGCGTGGTTTACATCGTCTTCAACTATCGACACATCTTCGACTGACATACGGTCACGGGAGCATCGCGAAATTTATATCGGCGACGCTATCGTTTCGTAACGCGAGTGTATTTTCTGTGCCAAGCCGAAACTCGAGAGCTTCAACCGGACACGTGATTTCGTAATCCCATTCTTCGTGCGACTCGACGGAATGAGCTCTTATGTCCATTTCTACTCAATGTAGATTAACTTTAATCACGGATTAACTTGCTTTTCTTGTTTTTCTAACGTGAAAAATTAGAGAAAGGTAAAGAATAAATTTAAACTGAAATTAAAATTAATTTACATTGATAGAAATGGATGTCAGTAAAGCTACGGAGGAAAAATCCTGAATTTTGACGATTAACAACGCATATATTTTAAACTAAATCTGGAAGAGAATTGCTCGTATTATTGCATCGATGGAGGTAAGCGAATTGGAAATCGATGAGTAATATTTAAAAAATCTCCGGATGAGCACGTTACTCGTCGCATAGTTTAATCTCTGAGGACATCAGATGTGATTTGAACTAACTGAGGAAATGTTGACATAAGGAAGTCGCAAATGTGACATTTTCAGAAAATCGTCCATCCTATTGAGACGTTTTAAATTCCAACGAAGCCTTCAGAGACCAAATAGATACAGTTTCCTACGCGACATTGGTCATCTGACATCTCACTTAACGTTACAGAACTTTTCACAGTCAACATTTATTTTGAGAAGTAAATATCGACTGATATGTGCGTGCAATACTCGTAAATAATTACAAAAATTAACGAATTAAAATTTAAAATTATAAATATAAATATAATTATAATTATAATATAAATTATATAATATATAATTATATAATTATATAATATAAATTTTTAACCATCAAAATTGAATTTTACGCTCGATAAAATTATTATTATTAGCCACAAGATTTTATTCGACATCACTTGAAAATTTTTATATTTATTTATTTTATAAAATTTAATATAATTTGGTTGTAATAATTTTGTAAATAGTAATTGTGTTTAATCATTTGTGAGATACAAAATCACTTCTTCCTGAGAGATATCCATTTTCGAGACACTCTCGCGGAATCGCCTTTGTTCCAAATCTTCGATTCCTGAGGAAGACCATTCACGACCGAATTAGTCACCAGATAATGAGTAACACAATAAAACATGATCATTTCATGATCGAATTTCGCGGACGCAGCAGAAATCACGACCGTCGAGTGACGACGAGAGAACTCGTCGACGGCTGTCACGGGTGTAAATCTAAATATATCCATTGCGTGTGTTCTCCCTTGTGGCCTTGCATAATTGTACGAATTGCTGACATACAAAACAATATGAATGGGAATACGTGACACTTTTGCATGAGCGATCACCGTTTCGTGTCCACCTGTTGCTGATATTAGAAATAATTTATATGTATATTTATTTGCGTATAAGAGAGTACCTATAAAATTATTAATACGGCGAGACGAATGATTGCTGCATCTGTTTACAAAATGTTGATTTTCATTCAACAAATTGCTCGCTGCGTTTTGAAAGAAACACGTTACTCTGTTCTGCCTTTTAAAAGTACAAATTATGATGCAAAAAACGAGATAAAATGCGTGATACTGCCTTATTTGTGGTTGTTAAAGATATCAATTTTTATAAGACTATGAGACATTATAACAAAATATATATATACTTTTCCCTAGAGCGAAGTATTATTACAAGAAAATTTAATTGCATTAATTCCATTAATGAAAAAGTACATGATAAATACGAAAATATCCGTAAATGTCTTTTTTTCTAATGGTGACTTTTTAATTCCTGTATCTTTTTATTTTCCTTATCTTTGAACAATTAATGAAGATATTTTGTTAAAGTTAGTTAATAGATGAGGATTATGTACATAGATAGCCTAATCAAAATTCATTATTAATGTTTACTTTTACTAGATTAATTTAGTAGATTAATTTTAATCTCGGTTCAACTTATTTTTATTTTATCTTTATTTAATTCTGAAAATTAAATTAAAAAAAGAGTAAATTAAATTGAGATTAAAGAGAGATTCAATCTGTAAAAATAAATATATATAAGCCAAGCTAAAATAAAGATCTCATGTTTTATTCGAACGACTTCAAATAACATTTAATTAAATTAAATGTTTTTCAGCAATTCTTAATATCAAAACCACACAAAAAGATTTTATAAAAAAGTTTTTATAATTTTTTTTTATTAATGTGCAATTCACGGATAATTAATTTTGCTCAAACACTTTTTACGCATCCTTGTATAATTATATAAATACGTCACGAGTGAAAGTGCATTTTTCACACATACAGAGTTCCAAAAATTATTCGTTTTTTCCTACGAATCATAACTTTATTAATAATTATTACATAGAAATGTAAAGTTTACAGAAAATATTTCTATTGATATGACTTTCAAATTAATTATACACTTTATTTGATAGAACCGCCGTTAATTATTAATAAAGTTATGGTTTGAAAGAAAAAAACGGATAATTTTAGAACACTCTGTATTTTTATGTGTACACATTACGAGTTTCCTATAAAATATGGAATCAAGTTCAAGAGAACCGGGAAAAAAAATATTATTTACTTAAATAATATTTTTTTGTACGTTGTAAAATGATTCTACCAAATGACAATTCGGATGATATCCGTCGCGTTTTTGTGCGCTGCGGTGTAGATTACATATGTACATGATACATATATACTTAATAAACAAAGTTCAGAAGTCAATGTCCAGAATAATCGGAGACGACTATAAAAATCTTTGCATAAACATATACGTACGAATTGACTGCGGCTGTAAACGCGGTGAGGAAAAGCGGAGCCTCTCGAAGAGCGAAGATGTCATTGCATTACATTGCGGCGTGTTTGCGCGCTATCACTGTAGGCATATTACACAATATCAATCATCAGGAGCGTAATTATCTACGGGCGCCTTGGAAGCTTCTTAATATTCGTGAAAGTACTCGCAAAATTAATTCTTTATTCGTGTTGCATTTTCGCTACCAATTATCCTTATGCATTTACAATGTATCTTTATGCATTTATTTATTTTATAAATATTCCAATTCGCGTCGCCATATTTGTCCCGATATTTTGAGCGTCACGTTTAAAGCTAAGTCCAGTCCTGTCGTTATCGACTGGATCCAAGATCTCAACGAGCGTGTTTATCGATGAATCGCTCAGTGCCAGACGAACAGTCATCGTGTTAGGATCTTTCCGTCATCTCCGTCAAAATGAGGTAGTATTTTGTGATATTTATTGTAGTTTAAAGCGACGAACATTGCGTTGAAGAAACGAGCTTAATTTAATTAAATTTACATTGTCTTCTACGTTTAAAAGATGGCATCTAAAAGGACATTTGCAACCATACTTCGATTATAATTGAAAAATTTTTCAGTGCAATTCTTTCTAGAGCTTTTCCGAATATTCTAGAATTATCCGAATATGACATTATAGACTGTACACAAATTTTATTTTCTTTATATGTGGATTTTATGAAAAGGAGAAAGTATTTAATTGTTATAAAATAAATTATCATTATCAGAATTATCTCCTCGAATATTGATGCTTATTGAGATACACAACCGCTGTATCACATTCAAAATATGTTTACTCACATTCAAAATATGTTTATAATATAAATCACATTCCAAAAGTTATTTATAATATTTTTTGTCATTGCTGATAAAAACTGCGATATAATCAGTAGGCATGTTTAAGTAAATGTCAATGTACTTATGTTATGACATAATTTCGCTCGATAGGGTCATTGAGTAAAAAGCGTATAATATAATATTCTGGTAATCAAATAAACGACGCTTGTTTTTTTACGAGAAATTTAATCGCATTCTCGTTAAGATTAACAGTGGCAATTTTTAGGAAAACAAGTTAAGAAGTTTTGATAATTAAAAAGATAACATTATGTAGATAATATTTAATTTGAAAGTTTTTCTTCATAACAATTTTTTTTTAAACATTTTCATAATTCGAAGAAGAAGAAATAGATAACCTAAGAAATGTAAGAAATATGATAGTATATATGCTTCATTAATTTGCGACGTCGTTGATTTATTTGAGATTGCACAATTTGCGATTTTAGAAAGTTTCGTTTTGAATTTTGTCCCTTGAAACGATCACGATATAATCGGGATCACTACTGATGTTTTCTAGCAAATCGCGCAAAAGGATGCCCTCTTATCGGCCCTGGGGCTCGACGGAGGACGGTCGGATAGAATTCGAGTCCTTGACGAACGAGACTCTGGAGGGCGCCCTCAATGTTATACGGAAAAGTTTCTTCCTTTACGAGCCCATATCCGTAGCCGTGGACTTGAAGTCTGAACCGGGAGCACCCGAAGAACTCGAGGAGCTCTGTTTGTTCGCGGCTAAAGATGGCGTTAGCGTGGTAGCCGTCGACATCACCACTAACGAAGTTGTCGGTGTCGCTTTCAATAAAATTCAAGTGAGGGAACAATTTTCTCTTCTATACTTTCAGAAAATATTGAAAAGATTAAGATAAAGATTGTCTACTACGTATTGTATATTTTTATGTATATTTTCAATTTTTTATTTTACTGTATATTTAATATTGAAAAGATTATCTACTATGTATATATTATTTTATAATAATCATAACGTAATCTTAATAAGCTCTGCATGCATTTGTATTGTTATATCGAGTATTTCATCAGACCAAATTTTTCAATTTTTTAGCTGTTCAATGGCAGCTCCGAGAAGAACTACTTCGAACGTTTCAGCGAAAACTGCAAGTACAAATCATCGAAGGCTCTGGTGGACTTCATGATAAACATAGATGCACGAGTTAATCTCTTTAAGCATTATAACGTCAATTGTATCCTTGAGCTCATGTTCTTGGCGACTCTGCCCGATCACGGCAAACGAAGAATAGGCGAGTTGTTGACAATTTCATCGTTGGAGCTCGGTAAAGAATTAAGACGCGGTAAAAATGTGAAGACACCCGTGATGATACATGGCAGCGACGAGGTGACAAACGCCGATGCAATACCTGCTTTGCTTTCCTGTATCCCGACATCCAATTACTCCTATCGAATCATGAGAAAACTGCACTTTGACCTGCTATTGGAAGTCTCGTTCGATGAGTTCGAAATCAACGGGAAGAAGTACAGCGAGAAAATAGACCCGGTCCACCAACAGTGTTACTTGATGGCCAAGAGACTCACAATATAGATGACAATTGCACGAATAGTTTCATGCACAAGAAACAAAATTTTTGCTCTGCATTTTATCGTATTTAGAAAGAATATATACTCTTTTAGCGCTAATGGGATATAATCTCTTAGATATAAAATAAAATAATATTTCTTACAAGTCAGTCAAATTAGGTTGTGCATTGCAGAAAGAAAATTATAGCGATACGGACACAGTTCTCTTGTGTAATATATTAAAGATTTATCTTGTATTTATTATTCATGAAACGCGTAAAACAATGTTGGAATGTAGTTTGCTCATTTTTTATTACTAACAAGTCAGTTTTCAGTCAGATATTATTATACACCAAAAGTTTCTAATATTATCTAGTGTCTATTTCTATAGAGAATATTTTTTTCTTATAAATTCGTTTACGATAATGATGTTTTTCTAGAGTAAAAATTTTATGATAAGGAAAATGTGAATTGAAAAGATCGAAAGATATTTTTATAAAAAGACAAATAAAGATTAGATATGTCTAATAATCTTTTTGTATCTTAATATTACATTATGTTTTATTTTATAAATGATAAACACGCGTTTTTAATTTAATAAAGAATTTCAGAGAATTAGAAGACAATATTTTTTGATATATGTAAGAAACAATTGTACTGACAATGACTGAAAGAAATGATATTATGCATATTATATGTAATTGAAATATATCGCTTTTCGATATTTGCATATAAATGCATCACGGCGGAAATAACATGACATGTTGACATTATTCGAATAATAATAATCAAATAATAATAATAATGTAATTATCAAATCTGTCATCACAGATATATATATATATATATATATATATATACTGTAACATCACATGCAGTAATGTAATCAAATGTGAAGAATAATATGTTGGACTCGCGGATATTTCACTCACACGTGATGGCAATAATGATTGAATAAAATTGATCATTTCCTATAATATTATATAATGTATTGTATAAAGTTTTACTATTTTACTATTATATGTACTTATCGAAATCACATAATATCAAGCTTATGAAGTTGCGCAATATTATTCATTAAAGATAAAATACACTGTTGATTGTTCAGATATTTGATGAATCTGTTAAATAAAAAGTTAGAGGTTTCTCCCAATAATTTTGCTCTTCCTTTTTCTTTTTTTCAATTAAACAATTATTATTAAATGAGATGTTTAATTAATAATTATTATTTGCGTAGTTAATAAATAATATTGTTTTAGCGAAACACTTTTCTAAAGCTTTTAAATAATCTATTTGTTACAATTCAGGAATTTCATTTTATGTAATACAAGTATCGTTTAAAAAAACAGAATATTTTATATATATATATATATATATATATATATATATAATAATTAGTTAGTAT